GAGCTTCTGGGTAGTCGCGGAGCCAGTTCAGGGAAACTTCAGAGAACAGAGTGAAATGGCGACGTGCTAGTGAAGCCCTATGTTCCACTAGAAACCCAAAGGACAAATAATAATAATAATCTTCCATACTAATAGGGTAGATGATTGAATTTTAATGACAACCTTGCAGATGTTGACGTGGAGGAATTTTTAAAATTATCTGCTACTTGAACTTGCAAACAGGGTTCAGTAACGTGCAGGTTCACGAAAAACTTGTCATTGTTAGGTCCAGTTAATAGTGAGTGAAAAAGATTTCCGATCTTAAAGGATTGCACCTGAGTTTGTAGAGTTGTATATACAGTGAAAAAAATCCAGTATTTATTTTATGCCTGACTTAGATTGGACCTAGATATTAATAAATATTGACTTGCGGAACTCAAGTTATTTTCTAAGAGTTATCGTCTCTTTCTTCCACAAGAAAAGTGGCGTATGATACTGACCCTCAAAGCTGGAACGTAAAAGCCGCTTTCTATTTGAAGCCCAGGATAGTTTTTGAAACCACTCAAAGCACTTATCGCATTGAAACTACTAGATTAAGTTAAATGTTCTCTGAAAAACGTCTCTGCTGTTACTTCATAACTGGTTTCCAGCTGTCTGAAAAACTTATGTCCCTGTTTCAGTGTAGACCAAAAAAATCTAGGTTTGGTTGAAAATAGGATCCTTTTTTATATCGTCATGGATAAAAGTTTATTAAAAAAGATAAAAAAGATAGGCAGTTGATCCCTAGGTACATTTTGTATAGCCTTTGAGGTAAGGTAAACTGAAAGTATCTCTGTATGCTGGCAACGTTTTCTGACTGGTACCTGCGATTCTGAAGCAACACCCAGTTGCGTACCAACCAAAGTTTTGCTGACTTTCAAGAAGATATATTTTCTTCCAGATGCTTTTTCGTCCATAGTTAATCGATTACTGTATATGAAATGATTCACTAGGTTTTCAACCTTTGAGGATAAAACAGGTTGAGGACATCGACACATAGACTTGTAGTATGTTTCTTTGCAGCTATGCTATAAGAACTTTGTACAACGATGATGTTTAAATGGATAAAATGTCCAAGCAGGAACCCCCGTACTTCCTGCTTGTCAGTACTCGTAAGCGAGGCAGAGAATCATCAGCTGATGATGTTGTCTAGAAGGACGATGAAAGCTTCACGATTAAACAACTCACCTCGGAGAACACAATACAACCAAGACTATCCACCTGAGCTACAAGTATTCTCCACTATTTTGATCTGATAAAATGTTATTCATTACTTCACAAACAAGAAGAAGCCGGCTTCAAATTTCTGTTTTTATTATCTGACCAACTGACTAGTAGAGGAACTTTCTGTGTAACTGCAAAGAAACTCAGAGGAACTGGATTTCGCTGTCAGTCAAAGTTACTGGACGTTTCAATATTTGGGATATAGAAGTGTAATATTTGAGCACCGTTTGCTGTTTCTTAGATTACTAGTGTGCATGTCAACATGAGAATGTATGTCGTAAACAAAAATTAGAAACTTGAATTTATATTCATCAACAGCTGAAAACCTTCAACCTTCAGATTTTCGAATACGAGTAGTATGCTTGACTCGGTTCTTACTTCGTCATTTAACACGATTTAAAAAGTGACAATTGATTTTATAAAGACTATATTCTTAAACTTTTCAGTCAAAATTTCTATTTTCCCAATAACTGGATCACTGTTACGATTACTTATCAGGATGAAGTTATTGAATCTGTCTTGATACCTTAAACTTTCAACCCACTGATTCATTCAAATTATGTGGGTCAAAATGAGTCAAAACAGTTACAATTAAAAGTGAAGGTCATAACAGAATATCTGTGTGAAAACTGCGGCCTCACGCTGAATGAGATTCATTTTATTGTTCAGAGCTTCTTCGAAAAGTTCCAGGTAATACTGTGCGTGGTCTACTTGAGCATTCCTTCTTATCTTCTCACTATAAATTCAAGTTTTTCTACACGAGTAGTTTTTATGTATTCATTTTCTCTCCATTTTAACATCTGAACTGCTTATTCGCACTCTAAAAGCGTAAATGATAAGGTTTTACACAAACGGTCTACCAAGAAATAAATTACTGATTTTTTATATTAAATCATATCCAAATAAAACAATCAATACTTCAAGAAATTGTCGACTATATCCAGCTATTACGACAGCAGTACGACTAGTTTTGGTAAATTTGCATGGGGAGACCTTATGTACTGCAGAAATTGAGCGTCCTGTATGAGGCCCAAATAACAGTTAGTGATTTTATTTCCGACGGTAAGTTGGAGACATATAAATGTGGATAAGACTACTTGATAATGGTTATTTTAGATAAAGAAGAAAAGAAAATTAAATATTCATGTCATCAAAAGTTATGTCTTTTTTGACATTAAAATACGTGATGATAGACATTACGCCTTACGAAGAATGAAAGGAGTGACCTATTCTAATTAGTTTGTTGTCAACTAAAGGTAGTTTTTGTATTTGTTCTCTACCTCAGTAAAAAACCTTCGGAATCACGGAGTGAACGACAAGGTCACACGGATGCAAATACACCATGTCGATGAGTAGCGACAAATGTGAAACCCAGATCCAGGACTTCCTGCCAACTGCATCCAATCGTGCAACACCGATCAAACTGCACCATTATGCTGAGTCTCTTAGCTTGTGGCCACATTACAAAACTATCGACAGATTCTGCCAGTTATCCTAACTGGACAGGCTTATAATAAGCTAGAGAAGAAAGTAACTATGTCGTCACAGGTTCGGTGTGCGGAGCAGCTCTCCATTACAAAATCTGGAAAATATTTCAATGGGACATTGCGAGATTTTGACAATTGCCAAATTTTGTCACCTGATCAGTAGCCGGAGTATAGCCTCAAACATTACCTTTTATCTTTATCAGTCAGTGTACTTTCGCATAACTATCTTGCTAATTTTAGCCAAGAAACTCGATTTGACGAAAATAGTCCTAAATTCATTTCCCACTCTACGTGATCAGGAATTTTGAGAAGTAACGTACACCCTAAACATGATGCTTAACGTATAGCTTAGTGCAAAAGTTTCCTAAACGAATGGTTTGAATGACAAGATTTAGCTAGACTTTTGATTGCGAACAAAAGCAATACATACTAACAATACATACAATACATACTAACAGTAAAATCATGAAAATTCAAGTTTATGTATGAATGACGTTTTAACAGATTTGCTTTCCAGAAATCTAATGGATACAGAACATAACTTTGGCGTCAATCACCCACTGAAATTGATCAATGCAAAGAAACTAATGAATCCGTTTACCTTTCAAGAAACCAATATTTTTAAGGAATTATGACCTGAGGTGTTTTTTTGTAGATGGTTGCTGCTGTATCTATCGTCCTCCTGGTGTGTGAGTCGAACCTCGAAACTGATTTTCATCTAATGAATTAAATTGTCTTTCAAATTCGCGCCAGGTCCAACTATTCACTGGTATTACCAGTTATTCTCGAAAAACATATCCCTAAGTTTTGTTCTTTTGAATAAAACTGAATATTATCACGCAGAAATAAGCTTTAATCATAAGTGTTATCATGTTTCTGCTAAAATCAAAACTTCTTTTCCAGTTCACAAGACTAAATACAGTAACTACCTTGATATATATATATATATCAGTTTAAATATCTGAGATAGCCCTTGGCTTTGCAGATTGGTACTGGCACTGGGCGATGAATGAAAACTTGGGTTGCAGGAAAAGTCCGATTTCGTTGCTCAGTTGGTAGAGCACCAGGCTGGAAACCCGACGACTGATAGCTCGAGTCCTGCCATGGCTCATATTTCCGTTATACTTTTCATCATAACCTAATATATATAGTAACAGGTGGTTTTTTCCCATGTATAACTTGATTGTTTACCTATCAACGTCTTTTTGAGTCAACTGTCTGTGAACAGCACGAGGTGTTTTAAAAATAAAAAAAGGTTCGCTACGTAAAAGAATAACCATGATATTTGTCCAAAGCTTTCTTACGTATAAAGAGGTAAACCATATGAACGGTTACCGTACATTGTGATAGTCTTATTCATTCTATTGAAATAATTGCTTTGGATGTTTAATGACAGAATACTTCCAAACGAAATGTTGATTATCAACATTTTAATTCGAATAATATGAGGATTATTTGAATCCATTTTATATTATTGTTGACACGAAATGGAAATTATTTTGATATGCATTGGATTTTTCATACGAATTATTGAAGCCTCCTATTTTTGCGTGACATGCATAATCCTTCCAAACGAGCTTCCCTATAGCCTTTGCAATGAAGCAATACCATATTTGTTTCATTCCCATTTGAATATAAAATCCAAAATACTGCTCATTCTCTTGCTTTCGGTTATTGAAATCATTTCCTTTTACGTTTAGCATACTAGTTTCCCTCATTTTCAACTATAATTCATGGTTTTATTATTCTGATCTTTGTTACTGTGGTCGCAAAGCTGATAATTATGAAGGGTAATAGGAATGAAAGGAATAAAGCACAGAGCTACCGTTGCATGATTCATTTTTATCCGCATTATCCTATTCTTCTCCCTAACCTAAGGTTATTTTCGCTTGTCCTGTTTTTATTTATGACAAATTTCATTTATTTTTCAAAAACACTTTCATAAATTATTATTTGAAAAGTACTTCTGTCTGAATAATGTCATCATGCTGGCCATTTTTCTTCAAACAGGAAACCCATGCCTCTTCATCAAAAGAAAATAAATAAACTCACTTCCCTTTCTCTCTTTCACCTCATCTCGATTTATTATTTTGGTAATTATCATGGTCCCATTTTTTATTACAAAATATTCTGTCCAAGAATATAAGAATTAACTAGTCAACATCTGAATGAATAACCAATCAAATTTATTGGCGAATAATTTTTAAAATTTACACTCTATAAAAGTTAGTTTCCAAACAAAATAATTGGAAATAAATTTAGTAAAACTAGTAGACACTTCGAAAATCTGTAACAAGGAACCTACATGTTTTTCATTCATTCTTTATTGCTTTCTCAATTGCTGATTACTACTCACTTACAAAATATTGAAACTGCTACAGAAAGCTTATTTTTTATCAATAATTTATTGGATCACTTCCAAAACAGAAATGATCTTTTATTCAGTGTGCCTCTATTAAGTAATTATGAATGGAGTACAATTACGAGTATAGTTTTGGATTCAATTGAAAGTGCCATAGAATACCTATGGGCACATCGAAATAAAGTCAACTTAGATGGTTACCTTGGGCCTAGAATGTTGGAAGGTGAGCCATTCATTATTTCTAGGTATTCAAACACTTTTTAATAAAACTGTCACTGAAAGAGTATTTTTATGTATACTGTTCCATGTAGCTTAACATAATCCTTTTGATTAAAAAATCGTAAACTTATGACGTCCAAATATTTGGATGAACTTTGTATATCGGTATGACTGTAATTATCTGTATTTGTTTACAAACAGACTAATAGTTCAGATTTTAGGTAAACTAGAGTCTTCATGCGACAAAAGTATCATTGTATATGACCCGAATTGAAGTAATCATGAATTGTTTACATTTAAACCATTGTATAGCTGGAATAACAAGATTGGGAATTAAAACTGATGAATGCACCGCACTTCATCGGCACCCTATAGGTATATGTACTTACTAACAAGGTTACATGATGTATACGTAGGAAGTTAGTTGGCAGTTAAGGACCATTATGAAAGCTGTAGTCTGTTAAAGAAGTTATGAAGATGGAGACATTTCGAGTCTGAAACAGAAAAAGTGAATCAATTTGTTATTTTTTTTACATAATTATATTATTTATTACTAAAGCACCCACAAACGTACGAACCTCCATTCGATAGGTAGAATTACGGGATGAAACTGTAATGTTTATTCAATTAGGTTTTTGTAGAAAAGGTCATTAAATGCAATCATAACAGAATATGTGCCTTACTTTTGTTATAGCGGTTATGAGCATTTTCACTGTGATATCCCATGAAAAATTCCGGTTTCTCAAATTTGCCAAGAGAACTGAATGTATGATTAAATTTTGCCTACTTGATAAGCGAGGTTTGATTATCAAGCACGCTCTCCGTCAACCTGCATTGCAGGGCTATCATATAACGACAGAAGAACCTTCAGCAAGTGAACAGTTTTCTAGATTTTTTACTTTGGTTTGATGCTTTACTTCTGGCTTGACTGATATGCTTTGGAAACAGCCGGATACTGATCACTGTCTTGATCTATGTTTCTGACCTCACAAAGTAAGGTACGTTTGGTTATTTTGTTGTGGAGTTTTAATGAAATCCTCAAGGCAGTAACGATTATCTACAAGGCTAATGTAAACTATTAGATATCTTATATCCCAGCATCGCTGTGAACATGTAAGTTTTCTAAAGTTACCAATGCAATGAATGTTGGAGCTTTATTTTAGTGGTGTTACATGTTTTTACCCTCAAAACCTAATCCACTTTATCAAAAGTTGAGTGTAAACTCAAGATAAATGTGTATGCAGGTAGTATGACACACCGGTTTCACTCTAAAATTGTCTTCATCACACCACCATACATGCTGAAACGAAAGCCGTCGAGTGTAAGTAAACCTTCTACGCTGTAAATGATTTTTGTTCTTCAACAAAGCAAAAAATATTTTGGGTTTCAGAAAAATCCAACGAAGATCAACAAGTTTCAATTTAATTATGTCGCACCTTCCACGTGTCCTTTTCAGAGGTGGAAATACCAAGTCTTTATTTTGGTTACACAGTTTTGATTTTTAAACTTTTCAGGAAACTATGTTCGCAGCTATGTGAGTAGATTGACGTGAATAATAAAATAGTGACTTTCAAAACCCAGTGACATATTAGCTTACTTTTCTGGTTATTTAGACCAGAAAATAAGCACTAGAAAGTTATACTGAAATGTTTTTCACTCTAACTTTTTCGTAACATCCAGCGGAAAAGTTCAATTTCTCGCTAATCCATACTTAATGATTAGACTATAAACCTAATGATTAGGTTTACTTTCGTTCTCCACTGAAATTACAATTTAATACTGAGGCAGTAGCATTAGAGCGGAAATTTGTGAAAATCTGAAGCAGAAAAAGAAGTTGAGCGCACAGATAGCATAAAATATTTTCAAATCTAAGGATACGAAATTAGACTTCTGTATTTAAGAAGGAAATGTGTATATGATTCTTCCTAACGATTAGCATTTTAATATTTGGGTTTTGTAATTATCTTGAAAACTGACTTAGCCCAAGTTACGTGAACAAATACTTGCAATATTTTTATTAGTCTGTTATTCATATCTCAGACACAGCAATCACAATATATAAATGCCTCGCTCTATATCTTATGAATTTCCTTTCCTATGATTTTGAATAAGCTATTGACGGCTCCAAAATTCAAAATTGTTTGGATATAAGACAGCTATGCCAGTATCATTGTAACTGTGACTTTGAAAGAAATTTCTGTTGCTTACTGGTTTGTGGACTGTTGCCGTTGATGATATAGGCTATGACGAAGGTTAACGTTATCTATGGATGACAATAAAGATATGGTAAGATTTCATTTATCTTATGTATATATATATATATATATATATAGACTAAATTTCTTGTTATCATTTGGATGAAGGTATCATTGATACAATGCTGAAACTGTACCAACAGAAAACACCAGAGGACATTGCTGAACGTATGGAAACCATTCTCAGAAAATCACAGGAGCTAACCAACTTTGGCCTGTTGAATGTTAAAAAACAAACCCCATTCTACTTTTCAAGTAAGTTTTCACATTAGATAACTTGTGCTTGTCAATCAGCTTTGCTAATTGGCTGAATCAGTAGAGCTGTTAGAAGGATGGTGTATGAATACCCATGTTCATCCTTTTATTTCAATTTCCCAGTGGCTTAACTCACAATAGTAACATTTTTACACATCTAAAAGACTCTTCTTGCCTTTTAGGGAATCTGGCACCCTGTAAATGGTGGTACACAATATTTCATAAGAGGATTAAGGCAATAGGATCACAGTTTTCTTGGTGATATATAGATTGCTTTTCTTTCGCTGCATACTATCAGTTTTGCACTTTTTTCATACAAATTCCTTAAAGTTCTTCCCATAGATTTATTCTGGTGAAACAAGACTTACTGGACATGTGTGCTACATCTAGAAGCAGAATAAAATAAGGTTGTATTTCATCAAACTATTCAACTTTTAGTGCTCTGTCGCAACAGATTTTAGGTAATGAACTTGCAATTTAAATATTAAAGGTACTGGTATTGTTTGCGCTTTTCAATTTAGGCATGATCAAATTCACTTAATCGAGTACTGAGTCCGTCAGTAAAGTTAGGTGTATACTAAGGCTATAAGGGCTAAGCAGATTTATCTGTTGGTTATCTTCCCAATCATGCATTAGACCCATTTTTACATGATTTGTCTTGCATATTTTAACAACTACCATATACTGGAAAATACTTTACACTAAAATCAAACGAAGCTCATTCGTATGAATACGGAGAACTAACGTAATTGCTGCACTTGGATAAGTATTTATTACCGATACTTAACAGCTACATAAATAGTGTGATTCGTAGAGTAAAGAATAAAGACTTCCTGCTACGGCATTACCTTGATTTAATCACCTATCTTTTAGTAACTAAATACATAAAATGCAGGCTCTACATTTTTAGTCTATGCACATCAGTTAAAAATAAAATTATTAAAAAAAGGACCATCCATGTTTAAGTCAAACACATTTATGGATTCGGAATAGATTTAACAGTTAGCTATATTATACTTCCAATGTAAGCAGAAAGAAGGTACTTTGATGGTGTCTTATCTCAGCTGGACGGTTTAATCCTGTTTTTCACGACTAAATCATCCAGTTCACAGAAAGCAACACCATGAAAATCATCTTTTTGAGCTAAAAATATTCTCCACCATCGCAGAAAAAAGGTATACTTTCCAGGAGTTTACCAACTAATTCTTATAAGATGGCATGGCATGTCAACGAACCATAGCAAATAAACAGATTATTAGAAAAAGGTATTTAGATTAACTGTTTGTTTGTAGCTCTCAGATGAATAAAGGATACGAATTTCATCTTGATTGGAGTCTCTTGGATCGACTCTCATCTTAATGAGTGCCTATGATCGCCTAGAGACTCAATCCGGCACCCATCACTTCAAATGCCAGAGCTGGTATATTGAACTAGCCTATCTCATTAGTAGGCCAGAAGGTGCATCTTTTGTTAAGTGATGTGTAACATCAACTGAACAGACAGAAACCACTTTATAATTCAGGCGAAAATTTTTCCTTTCAGTCTAATAAAACAAATAATGAAGGATCAGGAGGATCATCAGACAAAATGTTCGGATGTTTGGAATTGACTTCTTATTTAGTTTAAAAATTGACCATCTCAAGTAAAGATGAGTTACGCAATAAGCATACATGGCGATTTCAGTTGAAAGCAGCCTCTTGTCAAAGAAGAATTAAAAGTCCCTGCCTTCAAATAACAGAATGTTCTGCTTCTGATAACAATTACGGATATGCTAGATGCTGCACTCGTAACCAGAGGACAATTTGACTAAATCCTGATTTACCCTATGCTTTCAGTTAACTTCAGTCAGATCCTTATGTAACTTGTACACTGTTCGGATAGCTGTTTTACATGGAATGTAGAAGACGTTTTCTCAGACTGTTTATATTTACTTCAAATCAGTAGTTTTATGCGGTATCCTATCTTCATTTAGCATCTTTGGACTCGACCGGCTGATGGGTGGATCTTATTGCATACATAACATGTTTCTTCGGCATGAATCTAATATTAAATCTTAAATAGGCTGAATTCACTTTCTGTAACCTGTAAGTGTAAAACTCATGGCTCAGTCTTTACAGCACAAAGTCGACAACTTGTAAGCAGCTGATTACAGCTTTTCCTCCCCCAAGTGTTTTCATTTCAAATTCAACCGTTATCTTTAGTTGACAACAAATACTACTCCTTAAAACTTAGTCTCCGTAACTTACTTCTCTCATAATAATTTTTGCATTATTGTTTGTTATTACTGACCAATATAACTGATGATTCTAAAACGTTTCTTACCTCACTGAGTCAGCACAAGTTACCCCTTGCTTTCAGGTATACACTTACTTTTGTTATGTTATTCATTCGTAGTGCACCATTCATATTCAAAACATCTTCATAATAATAGGAGCTTTAAACAAAGTTATGACCATGCCAAACGAAAGTCAACAATCTACTTTGAATATGTATGTATAATTATATATATATATATATATATATATATATATATATATATGAATTAATTAAAATGAGGAAATAATCTTCAATATTTTTTCTTCGGTTTTTTGTTCGCCTGGCAATATTTGGGTTAGTAGGTGTTTATCTGACAATTCATTGGACTTATTGGTGGCCACGCAAAATTATTAGTAACATGCATTTTCTTTTCAGTCTATAAACTTTACTTGCCTAAAAGAACTGTTCGAAACTAGAAAACTTATTCTGGGTGATGGAAAGTGAGTCACGCAAAACATAGGTGATTTAAAGCTGTGATGGATGAGCTTTTGGTAAACACATGCAGATGTTAATTTTGTGGTACTGCAATACTGTTGCAGTATTAAATGAGAGAGAAATGCAACGCAAAGATTCCCCACATGTATACCATTAACCATCAGGAAACTCACCTTGTTCGTCAGCCTATATGTTCAGGATTCTCTTTTCAGCAAAATTTTTAGATAACTGAAAGAAATTACTGCATCTGGTAAGAATAAAGTCATAGCTTATAAGAAACACATTCTGCAGTGGACATAGTAGGATTAAAGAAAACATTTTTATAAGTTGGCGCTTAGGATTCCCGTAATCATCATATTCGTCGTAACAGAAGGCATAAAGGCTATGGATCTGAACAGTGGTCTTTAGAAAGTAACGTAAAAGACTTTGCAGAAGACCTCAACGTTGTTCAGATATTTTAGGTTCTGATAGCACAATCTTGAACAGATAAATCCTGGTGTTAATCCTTTATAGTTTGCTTAAATGGGTTACTTTGATCACTGTGATATTAAATGTTTACAGAATGTGAATGTAATTTAGATTTTATCTATGGAAAACGAACTTTGATGTTGGTTTCTAGTGCAAGTGATTTGTAAGTAACTTCCTTTGGCTGACATTTTGCTTTATTTGGCCTTATTTTTATTTATTTGAAAATCATTTGGCGTTAGACAAACACACTCCGAAATATGCACTTACGTTACCTGGCAAAAACTGTTTTATCGTCAGTCTTCAGTTCGCATGCACAGGTAATGCCGTGATTGGACTTGGTTTTGTAATCATGAGTTGTTGAAAAGGCTGGTGAAAATCTTGTCGTTACTGCAATTAACATGACCCCAAGGTCCATTCGCCTAACTCTCAGTTAATCGTCCAATCAACTTAAGTTCGAAGATTTTTTGATTATCTTAAACGTACGTCTTCATCAGCTTCTGGAAAGTTCTAATTGAAATTTCTTTTATATGTCAATGAATAAGAAATAATCTTATAGACGATTTCTCCTTTAAATTTACAGTCGTATATATGACGTAATAAATGCAATAGTATAATGATTATGAACGAGAGTGAATTTATCTGATTCAAAAGACAACTGTAGTAATTATTCATATAATCACTTCGTACTACTTACATTACGGAAACATTCTCCGCCAAGTGGAAACATGGAAACCAAATTCGCTGTTCCGGTAGTTGTTAAAATGGCCTTCAGCAAATGACTAATTGGTTGTGGTTAAAGGTTAAAATGAATGTAATTCCAGGTAGTGGAAATCAGTCTACTTTTTGTCATGCTTACTTAGTCATGATCTCCTTTTTGCTATCACGAGCTACTACATTCCTAATAAAGACATCACCTAATTTCTCCAGTTGCTAAAATGTTCATTCTGTCATCGTGAAAATAGTTAGTCTTTTAAAAGTTTTGACAACTTCGTCAAATTTTAACAATTTAGACCTGCCTTCATTTTTGCTTATCTTCCATCTCAATCAAATCATCCTTACTCGTTAATTAAATTACATTGTACATTTTACTTTTTCACCGTAAACGTTGCAGTTTTCAGATCGTACAGCAGGTATCCAAAGAATTCATAAAAAGCACAGAAATAAATCACACTACTATTATTCTTGTTCTTGGTTTTGTTTTGTCTTGTCATGCAAATGGTCAGCAAACGGTGCAATTCTGACGTATCTTCGATAAAATATCAAAACGTTGGGTACACCTCCACTGAAGAAACAAGAAAACATTTGCATTAACTTATGCTTCAACTCCATGTAGTGGAATTCGTTATATCTTACTGCATTCCAGTTCTAATTCTCACATAGAAACACATAATAACTTGATAAAATAAAAATATGTGATCAAAGATGAAAAATCGCATCAAAATCAGTTTGACCTTCAAAGTTTGCTGAGAACAGGTGACAGAAGCTCTTTACATTAAAATGCAAATATGTTACGGAACTGATTTGCAGGGTTAAAGTCAAAACAGCTTTTAAAATACATTATTTAATAACGACAAGGAACAAAAATTCGATACATGAAATTAAGAGACCTAGGCAAAACGGACCATTTACTGGTAGACGGATTGCATTTCCAATAGCTATTCACAAAACATTTGCTATTTGTCAATTTAGTTGTTAGCTTTTCGAGTAACACGTCTCAGCTGACTGACGAAAAGACAAGGACATTCAGCAGTCTTATAATTGCACGTCTTGATGACAGTGGT